TGATCGGTTGCCCATTAGACGAGAGCACTGTCGGCTCTGCAGCGCCTCTTCCACAGATACACCCTCGACCGCCGCGAACGCTCTGTTTCCTACATCGACCCTTTACTCTCGATCGGCGCAATGTACGCAATGGAACGCTCGTAATCTCGAGCCACACAGCTTTTGATGAGGTGCTTACTGTGGGATGGAATACGGCGCTGGCGGGGCGGCTGGGCATGAACATTGCAGACTGCCTCTGCGTGCAGGGATACAAAGGAGACCCAGAGAGGAAGATTGGGATCATTGGCCAGGTTTCTGTATCTTTGAATGAGCTTTCTAGACTCATACAGGAAGAGTTTGGTACTGCAGAGCTCGCGCACGCTGGGCAATCTGATGAGATAGGCATCATTGCGATCATGAACGCGTTCAATGAGGAGGAGGTGCATTGCGTATTAGAGATGGCAAGACAACAGGGCTGGATTGCACCTGATCAGGGCGGCAGACATGTACTCTACCTGACTGGCCAGCCGCGTGTTAGTGGGTTAGAAGCAGCTAAAGCGCTAGGAATATCGGTAGCTTGTGTAGGACATCGGCAAGCTGAAAACTGGGGTATCAGATATATGAGTGAAAAGTTACGGAGGGCTTTTCCCAGCACGAAGGTAAAGGAGGTGTACGAGGAGGAGACTCCTCTTGTACGAGTGAAGAAGGAAGCTATCGCGACAGAACCGGCATGTTGATAACCGTTAGGAGATTGAATAGAAACGCCATGTCAGCATTATATTGTGTTTCGCACCTTGCTTTGCTTGAAATCTATACACAGTTCGCAAAGAATCCTTATTGTGAAATGTAATTAATGCCCTTCTTTCCAAGCCACAAAAATTGGTTTTCAAGATGAAGGTCAAAAATCTGCACAAAAAGTCAAAACGTCAAAAAATCAAAAAATTCGCCCGGAAAAGCTGGGCGAGAAGCAAAAAAGGGAAGAGCCTTTATTTCTTTTCAAAAAGACACCAAACAGGGCCGAACCGGAGTCGAACCGGTGGCTTCGGGAACGTAGCACATGGGTTTGCTGCAGTCCTACACTCTACCACTGAGTTACCGGCCCAGATGAGTTTGATGAAAGAAAACAGAGTTACTCACAATATAATCATGGCAAAAGAACAGATTTTAAGGACTTGAAATGTACCCCGCACCTGGTGGGGCATTCTCATCTGGCAAGCCCGAACACGGGGATGAGTCTCACTCTTTTAGACAAGCGAGATAACACTCGATGCATTAAGCTTCTAGATTAATCGCACTCAGCTATTACAGTCTTACCTGAATGAATTCTCACAGAACTACCCTTGCGACGGGACTGAACACGTATGATACTTGTCCGGCAAGGCAGCAGAAACATCTTCACAGTCTATTTACGATAGCTACTTCGAAACTAGTACGTTCATATCTGACAAGAAAATCTTACTATGTGCCTAATTGCCATCTAAGATCCGTTTAGCCAGGCTGTCGCCACTTGGGGCCTCTCTAGGTGCCGTGCTAACCGATTCAAGGTGGCATATGGCCAACCATATTAGAGTACACAGAAATTGATAGGAAGCCTAATATTTACTTGAATCAGAAGAACGTGTGCGAGGGTATATAGAGTTGCCAAGGTCTTCCAAGATGTAGTCATTCAGTCCATTCCCCAAGTTCAACTACGCCTCTACTTTCTGCATACCCGAACTAAGACGCACAAATGGCGGAAACAAACATGAGACAAAAGCCACACCTCAACAAACCATTGATGGATCAACTCAATCGAATCCCTTGGCGCTGCCTTATCATTCCCGGCTCGCTCCTATCCTTTCTCGGCATCTACACCTGCTTTCAAATGATCGACTACACCCAGATGCCTCAAAAGAGCCAAGGCCAGATCACTGCTTTTGCCCATGTGGCGATATTCTTCATTGGCGTTATGATAACCTTTGTGGGGTTTGTTCTTTGCGCAACGTGGTATTATATGTGGGACAAACGATTCATGCCTTTAGCGGAGGCAGAGCAACAGAGAAGAGATATGGCAGCAGCACGGGACCGAGAGCATCAACTTCAAGAACAACGTCCAGAACAACATCAAAACATCGTTTGAGAGACACGTCGTTTTCCCGATTAGGGTCTGGAGGTGTGGTAATCCGGAGAAGAACAATTGCAAATGCCAGTAATCTATCTAGTCCGCGTTGTGACATTCGGCCATGATATGACCGCATGCCAAGTCTTACGAATCCAATGTCAAACTTGTAGCCGAAATTAGATAAAGAATCCACTGACACACAGGATACGATGTCCACTATACACTTTAGGGAGTAGGAGTGTCTGTTGCAAAGTTATACTGTAGACTACATGTTTGCTTTCTATGAGTAGTGTTTTTGATGCTGGCCACTACAGTAATAAACCGTTGACAAAGGCCAATACTGAAGGATCGCCTGTGCCTGATGATGGGCGACGCTAAAGCCTGACACGAAAATCAGGGTGATTGGCATCTCTTGCAACACAGCGCTTTATGGGGATCGGCAGCCGCAGCAATACCGGCCGCACCCGTGCACAGCAAATAAGGTATTCCGGGATGCCGGGTTGAGGCTCGACACACGCATCGAGGCTCTTCTAAGTGACGTCCAATGCCACCCTGACAGGGCCGATAATGAGGCGAGGTCAGGCGATGAAGCGGTGAAGGCGGATTATTCACATTTGCACACAAGGGGCACCTGGTAAAATACAGTTCAACGCAAACACGCGAGTTGTCTACGTCCATGGACAGGTTGCAGTTAGTAACAGTTCCTCTCATCCGTGCCTTCCCCACGCTTTCTCCGACCCCCGCAAATAGCTCGCTTTAAAATTTAGCGTAGCTCCGAGCTCGCAAGCGACGGCGGGTTGGCCGACTCACCACAACATTGAACCGTGTCCTGGCCCTCGAGACCCTCACACTGGCCTTGTAAACTCCCCTCTAGGTCAATTGCATTCGCAGAGTCCCAGACAAGTGTCAGCTCCTCACCATGGCGACTGTCAAGGAAGAAGTGCGCGAGGTGCTGCTGGGCACGACAGACGAGCCCCAGCTATCGCAGCTCACACGCGCTGTCTTTATGAAGCACGCGGAAAAGGACGAGTCGGGTGAATACTACCTCAACGAGGATCAATTCATCACAGCTGTTGCGCCCGAGAGCGAGGACTACGTAAGCAGGGTCTTCTGCCGTGTGTCGAGTCAAGTAGAAGCTAACGGCGCGCCCGTTTCCAGCACAAGATCAAGCGTTTCCAGTATGGCATCCTCTTCCAGGTAGCTGACCGCGATCAAAAGGGCAAAGTCAGCATCCATGACTGGTCCGTCTTCCAGAACTTGCTTGCAAAGCCCGACGCCGAGTACGAGGTCGTCTTCCGCTTCTTCGATAAGCGGCGGACCGGCTACATCAACTTTGACGACTTCTACGAGACATGGAAGGCACACAAGACCGAGGACAGCCTGCCCTTTGACTGGGAGGGCGGCTGGGCATCGCTATACATTGGGTCTAAGAAGCACAGGCATACCATGACGTACCCTCAGTTCGCCCAGTTGCTGCGAGGGCTGCAGGGAGAGCGTGTTCGTCAGGGGTTCACCTACTTTGACAAGAACAAGGATGGTTTCATTGAGCCTGAGCATTTCCAGCGCATAATACGCGAGACTGCAAGCCACAAGCTCTCCGACTACCTCCTCGATAACCTCCCCACTCTTTGCAACATCTCGGTTGGCAGCAAGATCTCATACGCCAACGTCCGTGCCTTCCAGAATGTCATCCAACAAATGGACATGATCGAGCTTATAATCCGTAATGCCACACAAAAGAGTCATGACGGCAAAATCACTCGTGCAGACTTCCTCAATGAGGCTGCAAGGATAAGCCGATTCAACCTCTACACGCCCATGGAGGCAGATATCCTCTTCCACTTTGCTGGTCTGGACGAGGCTTCTGGACGACTCGGTCTGCGAGACTTTGCCCGAGTTCTCGACCCGTCCTGGCACCGAACAGGACTGTTGGCAGCTGGTGGCGTATCCGAGGCAGGCCAAAAGGTCTTTGCGACGACAAAGTCGATATGGCACGATATACTCGAGTCTGTCCACCACTTTGCTCTCGGATCCTTGGCTGGTGCTTTTGGTGCCTTTATGGTTTACCCCATTGATCTTGTCAAGACAAGGATGCAGAACCAGAGGAGTTCGGGCGTTGGGCATGTCCTCTACAAGAACTCGCTCGACTGCGCAAAGAAGGTCATCAAGAATGAGGGTTTCAAGGGTCTATACTCGGGTGTGCTTCCCCAGCTTGTCGGTGTAGCCCCGGAAAAGGCCATCAAGCTCACAGTAAACGACCTTGTCCGAGGCAAGCTGACGGACAAGTCGACTGGCCAAATCAAGTTCACTTCTGAGATGCTGGCTGGTGGTACTGCGGGTGCTTGCCAAGTTGTAAGTTCTGCTGCTGCATTCAAATACTTCACAGGCTAACATGCAAAACCAAAGGTCTTTACCAACCCCCTTGAGATTGTCAAGATTCGATTACAGATCCAGGGTGAACTCTCCAAGAACGTTGAGGGTGTTCCAAGGCGATCTGCCATGTGGATTGTTAGGAACTTGGGTCTCGTTGGGTTGTACAAGGGAGCTAGCGCTTGTCTTTTGCGTGATGGTAAGTGCAGTTGTTGTGTTCTGAAAAGGCTAACTAACATGTGAACAGTCCCCTTCTCTGCCATCTACTTCCCCACTTACAGTCATCTGAAGAGGGACGTTTTCGGCGAGAGCCCCCAAAAGTCGTTGGGTGTACTACAGATGTTGAGCGCCGGTGCCATCGCCGGTATGCCTGCAGCCTATTTGACCACACCTTGTGACGTCATCAAGACTAGGTTACAGGTAGAGGCGCGAAAGGGTGAGGTTACTTACACTGGGCTTCGACATGCGGCAACGACGATTTGGAAGGAAGAGGGATTCAAGGCCTTCTTCAAGGGTGGTCCGGCCCGTATCATGCGATCGTCGCCGCAGTTCGGATTCACCTTGGCCGGCTACGAGGTGTTACAACGAGGTAAGTGTTTCACAACGCTGTGTGCAATACACATGCTTACATGTTCCAAGCGCTGCCAATGCCGGGCTCCAGTCATGCAGATGCGTCAAGCCTTGAGCCTTCAATGGGTCTCGAGGAAGCCAAGGCACCGCTGCCGTACCTCCGCAGCCGCAACGCACTCAAGGTGATCCTCGATCTGGACGAGAACTTCGGTAGACCCAAGATGCCTGCGGGTTCCAAGTTCCCAGGGATTCCCGTATTCGGCAAGAAGCCGGAAGCGTAGTCGGGCTATGCACGTGGGCAGCCGAGACTATTGCGGCTGAGGCTAAAATGGGATTGGACGATTCTATGCATGATTGTTTTTTCCAAGCGTTGAGCACGTTCTTACTTACCACGACAGTCAGTGTGGTGGGGGTGGGTGTGCTGTCACAAGTGTCGAAGCATTTCTGGCGGGCACAGTAATAGATAGACAAGAGTGCATACCGCATGAGACTGTACAATAGGAAGGGTAGGACAGTGATGGCGATGGCAGGGGAGCGAGGGTGGCATTGCATACGGTACTCGCACACGCATGCACATGTAGTCGATAACGGACCAGTGTCCGGGTAGAAACAATGAGATAGGTACATGACCTAGAGTTGATCTAGACGCTGGGTGGATGTGCGGCTTGCTGGTCGCTTGAGGAGCGGGCAGCACAACCTTGGAAACGGTCAGGCCATGCCGCAGATTAGCGCTTGAGACCACTGGGCGGGCTGATGGAAAGCTTGGAAATGCCATGGCTAGGCTGACGATGTGTTCGCCAAAGTGCTGATATTCTAGAGTTGCAGTCATGGTCATGGCAGCAATTCGTGGCAGCCATTCGGCCCAGGGAGGCTGGCTAAAGAGCGACGAACAACTGGGGCCCGACGCAAACGAGTGGGTGCGAAGTGTGGCCGGGCTGGACGCTTGATCGACCCCATGGAGTGGCTACCCTTGTGGGGGCCCAGAGCAGCTAGCGGCTTGCAAAGCGGGGAGAGGCGCTGGGGACACTTGGGGCGCGGTGAAGCTTTGCCCTGTTTGCCCTGCTTTGGTGGGAGCCTCATGTGTGGATTGGACTGGAGCCTCGCGCTGTAGGTAAGCTGCCGCTGGGCTGCGCCTCGCCCATGGAGCAAAACGGCACCGGGCCTGACGACGACGACTACTGTTGTTCAGTCCAGAGCCGCACCCCGTCGTCGTCCTCTTGTAGCCAGCACCACACTGAGCCCTTCACCCTCGCACCCCCCTCTAACGCCGAGGATCCTCTGCATCCACTTTGTTGTTGCGTGTGGGCAGGTGATGACACCCTCTGTTCGTAACTGCCATTGTTACACCTTGCTGCCTAGATGCTATTGTTGTGTTGGTCGCGATGGGTGTGTTGAATGGCCCTGAATTGACATGAGATATGGGGTCACTCAGTAAACCTCCGGGTTGAGTCGTCTGAATTTATTGATGGTCTCGAATACGAAGACATGGCATTGTCTTTCCATTTACCAGGGCACCACTTAAACCAGGGTCTGATGGACAGTACGTCTCAATAATGACCCAACTCGACAACTGCCTAACATGGGCCGAATTATAAACTTAAGTTCGAAACGGCTTTAACAGGTGCCTTGAACTGCTATTAGATAAAATGACAAGGTTTGGGCGGATAATAGCAATGCCAGGGGATTCCTTGAAGATATTTCTAAGTGTAACAAGAATAAAAGTATCATAAATACATACAGCGT